TTAGTCCATTTGAGAAAAGTCCACACCCATTTTCAGCCATTATGTTTTCCAGCTTTACCCCCGCCCGCCACCTCATCACTGGGTCACGCGCTCCACGGTTTTTTTTTCCGTTTTTTTAATCGACTATGAAGCATAGTCGATTAGTCTTAAATCGACTGTGCGTCATAGTCGATTAAGGAAATTCTTTATTTTTTTTAAAAAAAATTTGTTCTTTAATTTATTTTTTTATATCAGGTTTATTAATTGACTATGATGAAGCATAGTCGATCAAAAGTCTGCTACTAAAAATAACAAATCAAAACTGCAAAAAAATGCAAAATCAACTATATTTTACAAAAAAAAAAATATATATATATATAAGAACATTATAATTGATTTATACAATTGGAATCAATAAACAAAAAAACCAAAAAACAAAAAGAAGATTGGAGTCGATCAACCTTAATCGATACCAGCGCATAGTCGATTAAGAATCTGCTACAAAAAATATCAAATCACATATGCGAAAAAATGCAAAATCACCTATATATTACAAAAACAAAAAAATATACAAACATTATAATTGATTTATACAATTGGAATCAATAAACGAAAAATCCAAAAAAACTAAAAACAAATTGGAGTCGATCAACCTTAATCGACTACCAGAACATAGTCGATTAGCTTAATCGACTATGAATATGTACATAGTCGATTAAGGTTTCAGCCTGCGCGGAATTCTCTACACGCGCCGTTATCCGCCTAATCCAACAAAAAACCCTAAATCTGCCTCCCCATCGTCACCACACCGCTGCCACAATACACTATTCAACCAATCCCTAACAAGAATAAAATAAATAAATTAAATAATTCATCAAAAAAAAAACACAAATTAACATTTCAATGTCCAAAAAAGAAAAAAAGGAAAAAAGAACAGAAACGATTCAGTTATCATCTTCAACGTCGTCGGTGGAAACCACCGCCGCGAACTACAGATCCATCACCACCCTTCACGCAGCGGCAGGAGTCGGTGACAAACACTCTCCACCGCCACCACCACCATCGGTCGATGTCTTGCTTTTCTTCCGAATTTCAGTCGAGAAGAGAAGAGAGAAGAGAGAAGACGAGAAGACGAGAAAAAAAAAGAGAGAGAGAGAGAGAGAGAGAACGGCAATGGGTTAGGGGTAATAAGGGTGGTTTGTGAATTATTAAATAATATTTGGGTAGGATATTAGGTAGGGGGGTTTTCTCTAATTATTTTTGGGAGGAGGTGTTTTCTTAACTCATTTTCCTAGATGAGGGGGTTCTTGCTAATTATCCCTAATTTTAATTACTTTTAACTTATAGTGAATTTATGCGGAATTATGGATTAAATTGGACGTAAATCAACTACGTTGTTTGCATTGCGTAGTTGATTTACTAATCGACTATCAAAATACTATAGCTGGCTAAGATATTAAATTGTGTATATATTAGACATCAGAAACAATAAATCGACTATAAAAGAAACATAGCTGATTTATTATTAGGCTATACGGATCCAGTAGTTGATTGTGTATATTGTCACATAGCAATACTAAAATCGATGGAAGAAAAATGGTGATGATTCCGAAGAAAACGACTTTAGCTGAGGCGCGTGGGACGGACTATCCATACATGAACAATTTTGTGTTTCGAAAGATAGGATGATAATCGTGGAGATCTAGGATTAAGAGGAGTGTTGTATTAAAACTACTCAAAGAGTAGAATTTTTGTCTAATGAAGAAAATGAAAATGAATATTTTCATATTATTATAATGATTGGGGGTATATTTAGGAACTAATTGTTTTAATATTTACACATATCTCCACATATCCATCTATATGAACCAAGCTTAGCACGTGTCTTACTTTATATATCAGTTCATACTACGCTATATTAGGTGCAATACACTGCATAGATCTTGACCATTTATATACACATATACACACATTAGTTTACATAGATCAACGGTAAAAATTCGTCCGATGGCAATATAACATCCACAAGATGTAGCATACAAATAACCTTACATATCAAACCATTTGCCTTTTTTTTTTTCCAATTTTAAAGCTTTTGTGGCCCACTTTGTGTAATGGTGGCACTTTCTAATAAGTTCCTCCAAAAAGTTGGGGAGGAGAGTGGCAACACTTCATCAATACAATTGTCGATCAGTGCTTGAATCGCTTTTATTTCACGAATGACCCTCGCATTTTTTAATATTTTATTTTCAAGCCACTAAACTTTTTAAAGGCTCCAATTTAGGCCAATTAGTGGCCGTCATGTTCACAGTCCTTTGCGTGTGATTGAAAAATATTTCTGCCATTTGCAAAAGCTGCTTTTTTTGACAAAGTAAAAAAAAACTTAAGCTTATCAAGTGAGTTGGCTACTTCTCATTTCTCAGTCAGTTTAGATTAATTTTATAACTAGTTGAGAATTTAAAATATATCAATTGACTGTAAAACCCATATTATGTTGTATTAAATTGCTCAAAAAACTTTATAGTATTTTTTTCTTAGCATAAATCCTTCTATATGCAACGAACAATCCAAATTTTTAGTTAAGGGTGTTCAAATGAAAAATAGGTAATTATGCACAGTCCGTTTCTGAGAAATTGTGGGGCCTAAGCAGGTTTTAAGAATTTGTTAAAATGGGCCCCGATCTATATTGTATAGTGTAAACATTAATTCATTATAGCGATTACGACTGCACAAAAAATAAAAATTTATCACGGTTAAGGATTTTGAAGAAAATATGACTAAAATATTGATGGGAGTTAAGGTAAATCAAAAGTTTACGGGTTTTAGGCAGAGCCCTGATATTTCTTTGAAATTAGTCAAAGAAATATTATTTTACATGTAAATATATGTAACATATGTTTAAATATAATAAAATAAAATATATTATTTTTGAACTTGTTGAGACTCTTTGAAATTAGAGATATGCAATGTAGATTATTAAGAAATGCAAAGATTGCTGGAAAAAAAAAAGTTTAAAATCTTGAAATAGATCAAAATTTGATAGAAAATTCAATATCTAACTAATTATATTTGATCTAAGACATTTCATTCACATCAAATGCAAGAATAAATGTAAAGATTTTCCAACAATTACTTCAACTACGTAAAATAATATAATTATAATTATTCAACATTTGGAAATATTTATGTATTTTAAATATTATTTAATGCTATATATATAAAGGATACAAAAAAATATTATTTGGGGTTCTCTATTTTTTTCTAAAAATCGAGACCCGAGACGACCACCTCTCTCAACTATAGTTATCCCTTATTATGCACAAGAAAATATAAGTGTATTTTTCATATAGAAATGTTCATAAAGTTAAGATTTTTTGAAGTAGTTTTAATTTTTGAAGAATATCTACTACCACTTCATCAATATTCTATTGTATATACATTTCTGTTTCTTAATGTACGAACGGAATTATCATTTAATACTTCATCCCTATGATTCAGTGGGGTGTGCCATTTCTTAGAGTGACAAAGTATATGAATTATCGATATAAAGTTTTGTAGTTTATTGTATTTAGCACCAATGGTATCTCGAATTGCTAAAAAAAACTCATCGTATTTTTAACAATGGGAAAAAAAGAAATAAATTTTTCAATTTCCTAAATCTTCAAAATTGGATTAGAGATCGAATTTTCACTTGCCGAGAAATTGGAAGTTTTTTAAATCTTGTTTTTCTCGATCAAATTCGTTCGACTAAAAGACATCTATCATTGAGCTAATTGAAATTTTTTTTCTTTACTTTTCTTCTTCTTTTTAGGTGGTGTTTGCAAAAGCTTATTTAAAAGCAGTAGTTATGGATTGTGAGTTAAGTTAATTATACTTATAAGTATTTATTTTTAAAAATTGGGGGTGTTTGCAAATTTGCTGGAAAATCAACTTAAATAGTAAAAGAATGATCATGGGTGCTTAACAAATTATAGCTTAAAGCTACTTATTTTAAGAGAAACAAAAACAAAAGTTCATTTTGCAAACACTTAAAATGGATTATGAGGCATGCTCATATATTAAAAATTAGGGTAAATTACGACCGCCTCCTGAGTAAGGTGAAATTACAACCATCCCACTCAACTATAAATGTTCTTACACGTTCACCATTAGAGTGTCAAATTTAGTGGAATCTTCTAGAATAATATATAAATGTTCTCCAATTTGTACCGTTCTCATTCGAGCTCCACATTTTGAAACAAGGTGATCAATAAGATGTCTCTTGGCTTGTAAACATCAAATTGTGGTGCATCAAAAACAGTATGTCTACACAAAAATAAGTACAAACTAGAGAACTTCCACGGAATCAAGAAGATTATGTTGAATTTGACATCATAAGAGTGGACGTGTACGAAGATTAATAGTTGAGGGGTTGCCTTTTAATTCGACCTTACTTCAGGGGTAATTTACCCTAAAAATTAGAAAAGTAGTACCGGACAACGAAATTTAAAAAAAAAAAAAAAAAAAAAATCTAAATAAAAAAAATTTCCAACTTTTTTTCCCCATTTTTTTTTTCATCAAAAAAAAAAAAAAAAAAAAAAAAAAAAAAAGTAGTTAGTTTTTGGGGTGTCGTTCTTTTAAGTAATAAAGCTATGGTTTAATGGTTCTTGGGACAGTATGAAATGTGCTTCTGCCTGCTACTGATGGGGATACACACACACACACAGGGGCGGACCCAGGGGTGTTTTCTTGGGGGGGCGGAAATATAGGGGTAAATTAAGAGAGAATTTTTTTTTTTTGTTTTTAGGGACTAAAATGTACAAAATTAAAAGTTTGGGGGGGCGAAAGTGTATAAACTAATACATAAATACCCAAAAAAAAAAAAAAAAAAAAAAAAAACAGCTTAAAAAAAAATTCTTGGGGGGGCGGGGGCCACCCCAGCCTTAGGCGTGGGTACCCCCCTGCACACACACACATATATATATATATATATATATATATATATATATATATATATATATATATAGACATATAGATATATATAACGAGTGTTTCTTCTTCACCCGCCTCATATTTATTTTAGTTTCTTCTTCCTCAGATTCCTCGAACTGATCAGACATAATCTTCAATCCATGTCCGAATTGTTCTTTTTCCAAACAACTCTTTGTTAGTCTTTTCTTTTGGAGAATGAAATATTTGTATTGATGAACATTTTCATATTATTTGATGATGATCACCTTTCTTTTTCTTCTCTAATACTGTAAATTTTCTCATCTGAGCAAAAAAAAAAAAAAAAGGATGCACTGTACCTGTTTGTAGAAATGCCTCAATGAAGAGACTCAAATTTACAGACATTTCTAGTGTCATTCTTGTCTGAATATTTTTTTTCATCATGCCCAGGTTTTTAAATATGACTACTCCCACAACGCAATTCGCGCCTTCGAGTAGAATGAGTTTGTACGAACCCCTGCACCAGATTAGCATGTGGGAAGATGCCTTTGATGGTGATATCAGCCCCAGAACAGGTGTTTGTTTAATCAACGACTCGGACGAAAAACTAGACGACAAGGTGAACAAGGCGTCGTACATATATATACTTTTTCGATCGTTAGTTATAAGAAAATAAAATAAAAAATCGGCTGGCTCATTCATATATATGTAATCGCTGATCATGGTCTAATTTGAATTTAGGCGGAATACACTTCCGATAAATCAATCGAACTCATTGAAGATGGTCATGCATCAAGGGGTATCTCCGAGAAGGTGTTCATTTTTATTCAAAAATATATATATGTCTTGCGTATTTTTTCGGCAGCCTTAAATCTCATGTAATGAAGAAAATTGTCTGATTTGGCTAAAAGGATTAGTCTCGTTTTTTTTATTTTTGACAGAATCAAAGACGATTAGCACAAAACCGTGAAGCGGCTAGGAAAAGCCGTCTAAGGAAGAAGGTAAACTGATTTGGAGATGTTGCAGATTGTGAAATTGTTTCATCGACCGTCGATTTTGAACCGTTTGTTTTTTATTTATTTTTTTAATAGGCTTATGTTCAGCAATTGGAATCGAGCCGTTTGAAACTAGCACAGCTCGAGCTTGAAATCGAGAGAGCTAGGCAACAGGTTAGGGAAAATAAAAAAAATAAAAAAAATTAATTCATTCCATTTTTTTTTATCGATATCTAAATCTTCAAACGCGTATTATATTTTCATCGTCTGAAAATTTCAGTTAATTCCTTGATTGCAGGGTATGCTTATTGCTAATGCGAACGCTAGTATGGGATTATGCAGTCCAGTAAACTCGGGTATTTTATTTAACTTTGTCTCTCGTGGTAATAAATTCGGAATAATGTGTACATATTGATTTGTATTTATAATAAGTAGCAAATAAAATCGAGTGATTATTATAATTATCGTAACAGGACTTGGTGCATTTGAGATGGAATACGGGCACTGGATCGAAGAGCAAGAACGGAAAATATCGGAGCTGAAAAATGTACTGCAATCTCCAATAGGTGATGTGGAGCTTCGAATGATGGTTGAGAATATGTTAAACCATTATTGCAATTTATTCCGCATGAAAAAAGATGCCGCGAGAATCGATGCTTTCTACTTGGTCTCCGGCATGTGGAGGTCCTCAGTCGAGCGGTTCTTCCTTTGGATTGGTGGTTTCCGGCCTTCGGAGCTCATTAATGTAAGTACTTTTGCACTTCCCGATTTTATTTTCAGCGGGTCCCACACTAGTAACAGATGTCTATATAAAATGTTGGTTTTTTTTAAATATGTGAATTCGGCTGATCGGATTGGAACCAGCACTTTCGAAAAAAAATCAATTTTTTTTTTCGGAAGTGGAACTAATTCCAATTCAGTTTGAAAGAAAATCGTATCCACGGAATTCGGAAATTTCATTTTTGCGGGCACCTATAAACATAATATTTTATATTGTAAGGGTAATTTTCGGGAAGAAAAAAAAAGTCGGAGTTATAGGAAATAGTTTCAGAAATTAAAATTGGATCGGAAATCGGAATCTAATATGAATTCCATTTCCATTCCAGAATCAAAACAGAAAAATCGGAAATCGGATACTTCAAAATTTGGAAATTTTCGAATTGCAATCGGTGGAATTCTGAAACTCCATTTTTTTCCGGCACCTATAATAATACAGTTGTATTATAAGTGTAGTTTTCGCAAATTAAAATCGGATCAGAACTCATAATAATAGTGATATTTTAAGTGTATTTTTCGGCAAAAAAAAAAAGTTGGAATTCGGAAATTAAAACCGGACCATTAATTGAAATCTAATACGTATTCGAATCAGAAACAAAAACAGAAAAATCGAAAATCGGAACCTTCATAATTCAGAAACCGGAAATTTGCAGATTCGGAATTGGCTACGAAATCTCCTACCATAAAGTCTTAGTGGAATCCTGGCTTACGAGTTGTAGAAACTAATTAATGTTCGAGTTTTTTTGTTGGAACACAGGTTGTAATGCCACAGCTGGAGCCGTTGACAGATCAGCAAATAGCTAACGTCGGGAAATTAAAACATTGTTGTATACAAGCAGAGGATGCTTTGTCACAAGGAATGGATAAGCTTCAGCAAACACTTGCACAGAGCATTACCTTTCTTGCTCCCGCTCCCGGAAATTACTGCTCTCAGACTGCCTCTGCTCTCGAGAACTTGGAATCCCTCGAAAGCTTCGTACACCAGGTATATATATATATATATATATATATATATATATATATATATATATATATATATATATATATATATATATATATACTTTTGTGCATTTCATGTTCACATTTAACGGGTACCCTATTCGTTAAAGCTGTTGCATACGTAAATTCTTTTGCTTCTTTTATATAGTAAGGCCTCATTTGGATGGTAAAATTGGCCATGATTAATTAAATAATTGGATGTTTAATTTGGTTAGTCCACTAACTTTTTCGGAAAAAAATTGCTCTAATCTTGCCTAATTGGAATTGTAAGATTATTTATTGGATTTCCATAAGATTTATTTAATTTTACGTGGGCTAATCTTATCATAGGGACCAAACGATACCTAAAGATAACATGCAGCTTAGACGTATAAGATTAGTCCAGTTCCGTATGTCCCTGCTGGAATTTTAGTAGTTTTACGCAAAAAAACCCGTGATACATACGTTTGACTTCGTTCAACTTCAAGTAGAGTATAGACAAAAGTATACATGTCAATAATAATAAAAATGTAGTTCGTCTCGATTTGTTATTCGCTTTATGGCATAATATAGTTAGAGACGACCCTTTTTTATGCTAAATTAGAACGGAAGCTTCTCTTTTAAATGGCATAGGCCTTACGTACATAGTGTCTTCTTGCAAGAAAATAAAATAAAATAAATAAATTATATTTCGATTCTTGATTATTATTTATATATATGTTTATTTTTATTTTTTATTTTTTTTTATGTCGCAGGCTGATCATCTTAGGGAGCAAACTCTGCAGCAAATGTCTCGTATATTGACAACCCGTCAAGCAGCAAAGGGTTTACTTGCTTTCGGGGAGTATTTTCAACGTCTACGCGCACTCAGCTCCCTCTGGTCCGCTCGTTCCCCACGAGAAACTGTTTAATTTACGGAAAACGACACATATATATATAGGTATAGTAGTTCATCCTGTAGTATATATACCATGGTTAGATATAATTTATGTACATTAGATATTTATAATTTTGCCTCAGACAGTATTGATTTTGCAATCCAATTACTGATGCTACTTCTTATGTATGGACTTTGTGTGTATATATTCTTTAGTAATATAGTTGATAAGTTTGTTCATCGCTCGACACATTGATTTGGTCTTTAACTTCGTTCCACTCAAATCGAATGAAAACATGTAAAATTTTACCTTCTTTTGGAGTGGAATCCGATCCCAAGCCGATGAACTCGTTTTCTTCCAAAAATTACTTCGATAAGATGGGAGTTTTATACCATTTTAGCGAGAGAAAAAAATGGCTCGGATGGGGAAACTTCTGAGTGACTCGGAGTTGGAAAATTTCCATTCGCAAGAAAAAAATTGCGGCCAAGCAAAATTTACACAAGTGCATGTATCGCAAACAAGTAGTAAAAGTGGACTCATGAGAGTCGGATGTCGAATCCACAAGGGAATACTCAAATTATCTAATTCTAAATATCGAATTCTACAAACTATATATATTCCAATCCAGCAATTCAAAGGTTATTGTCAGATTTTATGATCTAACTAATTAAACTAACTATCAAAGCAAATAAATACGATATAATATCAATACAGACGTACCTATGATTTTATTTCCCCCATATGCAAGAATTGCTCACACAAACCCCCTCTATTATGCAATATACAATTTTTACTGTTAACCTGAGACACTATATTAATTATACCCGATTTCACGTGTATTATAATTCTATTATCCAAAAGCAAATTAATTCTATTATTCAAAAGCAAATTACTATATGTCTCTTCAATCTGATTATGAATAAAACATTAAAGTATAAGTCTCAACAATTGTATTATAAGGTGAATATATGTATATCTGCGATACCACATGCATTCACATACTAATCTGGTTAACACTACTCGAAGGTTCTTCTACTTAACGTTTAATTATCAAAATAGTTTTATCGAGTCAATTCCAATAATCACAGATAAAACACATAAATTGGTCATGTTCATGCAGTAACAATCATAACAAGAAGAAGAAATAATCATAAAATTATAACTGTGTAATCTTCAATAATCCGATAAACAATTATAATATGTGTATACTATAATGTTTGGATTTTAAATTATTAATTTATTATATTATACAATATAAGTTTTTTTTTAGGAAAAGGTGATAAATAAATTAGGCTAAATGCCCTAAATTAGAGGGAGTGTAAATACCCTCATTACATGAATAGCCAAGGTTCGTGGCAAAAGAGTGAGCTAAAACATTGCCCTTACGACGAATAAAAGAAAAGATGCAACTAGAAAACGAAGAAGAAATCGAAATACATTCTTCGATGAATGCACCAAACGAAGTTGAAGTGTTCTCTTTGTTCTTGAGAAGGTTTATGACTGTGAGGTTATCTCCCTCTAAAATGATATTGTTCCAACCTTGTCTCCGAGCCCAGACCATGGATGCAAGGGCTGCGTGGGCCTCGCAATCAGTAGGTGTTGGCTTCCCAGGAATGTGGCGAATAGCCCAACCAAGACATTGACGATCGTGATTCCTCGCCACCATGGCAAACGCATAAAACGGCTTACCAGGAGGTAGAGCTGCATCAAAATTGATTTTGATGCTGCCCATTGGTGGAGCAGTCCAGGTAGACGGAAGAGAGGGGCAGGGCCCGTCGGCATGGTGCATATGATGCGCTTGGAACAGGGACACCAGATTCTCGCAGCAACTCAGCAACTCCGCAACATGGATATCGTCGTGCCCATGCAAATGGTTGTTACGTAGCTGCCAGCTCTTCCATGCAATAACAATCGCCAAATGGAATAAGTAGTCGTTCAAGTTCCGTCGAGTAAATCTGATCCAGGCCCAAAAGGACTCCAAATGAGAGAAAAGGTTGGAGATTAAAGGGCGGGGCCTGTCAAATTCGGGACATTCCACTGCACTCGTATGTTGTATGCACCATTGTCTCTAATCGACATCCACACATCGCACACTCAGGGGTCGGACTAATTCTTCGCCGAAACAACTCAACACCAGTCGGCGTAATTTCGGCACAAGCGCGCCATACGAAGTTTTTTATTTTTGGGGGGAGCTTCAACTTCCAAACCATCCTCCAATCCTCCGCCACTTCCCCACTACCATCGCCCCCCGCTCGTCCCTGCGAAGCACTTGGGTCCACCCTGCTACTGAGAGCATTGAGATAGCATGAGAGGACCGTAAAACTTCCCGTTAGCCGAGTAATGCCACACCCATCTATCCTCGATCAATTCACTACCAATAGGGACGTGAAGAATCCTATCTCGATCCACTGGCCAAAAACATTGGTCAATGAGGTCAACATTCCAACAATTCGAGTCTTGGTTTATAAGATCCACCACTAAATTTAGAAATGTAGAGTGCATTGAGCGTCGAGTAAAGACGTTGAAGTTCCCGTCCTCCATTAACCACGGTTCTCCCCAAATCGCCGTCGTTTTTCCATTACCAATTCTCTTACGCATCCCCAATAAAACCAAGGGCCGGGCCTTCAGAATACTTCTCCAGGTTGCGCTTGGTCGATTCCCAATTTGTGCTTGGAGAATGTCGCCCGACAGGAAGTATCTCGCTTTCATCACCCTTGGGATAAGAATATCAGGTTGGGTAATGAAGCGCCAAAATGAATAGCCTCAAATCCCTAAAACCCATACCCCGATTGCTTTTTGGCTTGCAAAGTCTCTGCCAAGATACCAAGTTCATCCCCTTCGATCCAGCCCTTCCCCACCAAAACTGCCTAATCAACGACTCCAAGTTCCGAATTAATCCTTCAGGTAATGCAAAACAACTCATAATATAAGAGGGAATTGCTTGTAAAACTGATTTGATCATGATTTCTTTTCCCGCCTTCGAAAGTTGTCGAGCGCCCCAACCCTTGATTCGGCCCCATATTCTGTCCGAAGAAATTGGAAGATCTCCTTACGAGATTTCCCTAGTGAGGCCAGCATCCCCAAGTATGTATCATGTCTCTCCAGTTCCTTGAAGCCTAAGATGTCTCTGATATGACCTTTGGTAGTTTCGCAAGTATGAGGGTTGTAGCATATAGTCGTTTTGGCCAAGTTGACATCTTATCCTGAGATGCGAGCATATAAGTCTAAAATATTTTCAGTACAAAAGCATCCCATGGATCGGCGCGACAGAACAAAAGGGTATCATCGGCGAAGCAAAGATTGGTGATGACAGGCACTTGTGGTGCAATACGGACTCCATGAAGTTGGCCACGAGAAACTGCTGTCTGAATCATCGAGATCATAACTTCTGCACACAAAATAAACAAAAATGGAGATAGGGGATCTCCTTGCCGAAGACCCCGGGATGAAGAAAGAGTTCCAAACTGCGAACCATTAAAGAGAAGATAGTAAGAGACCGAAGAGACACACAACATGATAAGATCAATAAAATGAAGGGGGAAACCAAATCGAGCAAGCACTCTTCTCAGAAAAACCCATTCAATGTGATCGTAAGCTTGCTAATGTCTAACTTAATTGCCATATAAGACTCTCTACGCCCATTTTAGTTTTAATAAAATGATTAATCTCGTAAGCAACGTAACTAAAACGTTGTTTGTAATGAGGCGGTGGGGAACAAATGCTGATTGAGTTGGGGAGACTATGTCATTAAGAATACCCCTAAGATGATTGGTGATAATTTTCGGTCCAATCTTGTAAATAACATTACCCCTAAGAATACTCATTTTGATCTCCATATACCTTTTCGAGTTTTTTTTTAATAGAACGGATCACTTCTTTTGTCTCCAAAGGCTGGACCCCCCTTTTTAACTCCTAGATTTCTTTTTCTAACTCGTTAATCTGTTTTTGCGGGGCACAAACATTTATTTTGCTCCAATGAAGCAAGGCAACCCGGCACTCGGTTGTTTTCATGAGTAAATCCTCCATCGGATCGGCTAAGTGGGAAGAGTCCCACACGTTTTTAATAACTTCTTCACAATAATCTCGGCGGAGCCACATAGATTCGAAATGGAAAGGTTTACGATGTCCTCGTCGTTGATAATTCGAGGTCGGGCAGAGAGTGAGCATTATGGGGCAATGATCCGACCCTGCTGCCGTAAGATGTTGGACTTTAGCTGAAGGGAAGAGCGCCGACCATTCCCCGTTAGCACAAAACCGATCAATCATAATTCTAATTGTGTTGGGCACCTCCCTGTTATTGCACCGCGTAAACACCGGCCCTCGAATCCAAGATCGTTGAGATCACAATCAATCAGACATCTGCGAAATACTTCAATTTGGTAATGGAGTTGAGGAAGGCCACCCTCCTTTTCTGAGTTGCACAGAATCTTGTTGTAATCACCACCGACGAGCCATGGTAGCGAGGAGAGATCACGGAGTTGGCGTAGGAGAGTCCATGAGTCCCGCCGCCGCCGAGTTTCTTGGAATCCATAAAATCCCGTACAGCGCCACTTAACCTCTTTTTCCGAATTCTCAACCACCATATCGATGTGGTTCTTAGAGAATGATAAGAGCGTAATATTCATATCCTTTTTTCCAGAGTAGAGCAAGGCTGCCGGACAAACCTTCTCGATTAACACAAATTCCTTCATAATTCCAACTCCCTTTTAAAATTTCCACGAACCGAGGTGTTGACTTCGTTTCCGAAATGAACACCAGTGAGGGGTAAAATTTTCGAAGCATCGCTCCGATTTCGTGAATTGTCAAGGGACCCCCCCAGTCCTTGACAATTCCTGAAGAGGCAACTCATGACTCTTGGCGGGGTTGCCACGCAGCCTCCGCCGCTGGAGAAATGTCCTCGTCCAAGAGACGAAGATGCGCACATTTCAGTGTGCGTTCCGTATCAAGCACCATCAACTCATCTGCCTTCTTCTTCCTTCATTTGTTAGAGACTTTCAGGAATTTCCTTTCCACCTCAGTATTAGAATTCTCGGCCAGTGTAGTAATCTTGTGGTTAAACAATAGTGAGTCATCAAGGGACGTTGCAGACTAGTTCTCTTTACCCGATGTTTTTCCTATACCTTGGGAGTTCGTGTTTAGGGTTGTTGCTTGAAGATAGAAGTACCCCGAGTCGGATTTTTATTCCAGGAATCAGAATTCAATCCCCGAGGTGAGGAGATGGCTTGAAGAGGAAGTTATGTCCTCTTC